CATATAGATTCAACGTTGCAGCAACATTAGTAATCAATATAGAAAATTCAACATCGATTCAACGTTGAAGAAACATTCCCACTACAACATTCAACATTGCAACGTCTCAGCAACGTTCTTTCAACGTTCTGTGCTGTATGGATTAGGAATTTAAACCAAAAACTTGCTCGGAAAAGATGGATCCGACTTTGAGCATGAATCTAGATGTGTTGGAAGACCTTCAATACGGCGTAGAATTAGGCGAGAATGGATATGGGGATGTAAGTGAGACGAGTATCGAATGCCCAGTATTAAATGTAAAGATTAATGTTAATAATTATAATGCTATTATTGATGCGGGTAGTAGTGAGACGTGTCTTTCAGAAACGATGTACGAACAATTGTGTAAAAGTGATGATATGAAGGAATTATCGGTAGTAGGCTTAAGAATATACAATCCTATAGAAAATAAGTATGTTCAGATTAAAAAAACAAATATGTGTAAAACGATGAAAGTGAACAGACAAATAATAAATACAATATTTTCCACAACTATCAACAGATGTAATAATAGGATCGAAATGGCTTGCTAACAATAAATGTATAATAGATTATCAAAGATTAGAAATTAGGATTCGTGGTGTCTCGGTTTGCCCGTCTCTCATGTCGCATAAGATGGCAACGCCCCGAGAACAAGACTCATGTAAAGTAAAGAAAGAGAGAAGAATAAATGGTATTTCAAGTCAAAAAGACAATATTATAAAAAATGAGAAGGTAAACAGTAACGAAAATAATAATATTAATGATATTATTGATATTATAGTGTTGTTAATAGTGGATTATTTGAAAGAAATAAGAATCGTAACAATTTTATTAATAGATTAAGAGTAATAGAAGTGGGAACAGACATAAATGAGGATAAAACAATTGAAAATAATCATGTAACTATATATAATATGGGGAGAATGATGAGGTAATAAAAAATCCGTCGATTGAGATAAGGAAAATGGGTCATAATTTAATACAGGCGAAAAGAGATTGTTAGAGAATTGATAGAGATTATAAAATAGAATATATAAGTCCAAAAGTAGAAGAAAAAAAAGTAAACTTAAATGAGGAGTGTTATTGGGACGATGTTTGTTCGCACATGCGTAAGTTTTCGATGCTGAGTAGTGATCGACAGAAAAGAAGGAACTAAGTGAAGTTCTTTATAGAAATAAAAATGTTTATAGAAATAAAAAAAAGAAATAAAAATAAAAATGTCGAAAATCATTTAAAAGGTACAAATATACATGAACATGAGATTAGATTAAACACGAATAAGCCATACATATATAAATCATACCTAATTCCAATCCATTATAGAATGCTGGTAGACAAGAAAATTGAAAAGTTATTAGAGCAAGGCAGAATCAAATATTCTAGTGAGTTTTGTAATCGTATGTTACGTATAGTTAAGAAATCAAATAGTCAAATAAGAATTTGTTTAGATGCGCGGATGCTCAACAAATACAAAGAATCGGATAACGCGAGCCCGCCATTAATAAATGAAATATTACAAAAACATGCAGGAGTACAGTAGTGCTCGGAAAAAGAACCGGGTAACAAGAAAATTTGAGAACCGTCCGCCCGCCCGTCATTCGTTGCACACGGATGAGAACCGATTCCTCGGGTACCCGTATCACGCGGGTACCCGCATCACGCGGGTACCCGCATCACGCGGGTACCCATATCACACGGGGATTCGTATCATA